AGATTCAAATGGCATTTTTTTTCATTAAGGGCATAATAGACACTTTAGTATTAAATTTGAAAATTTGACACTTTTCAACTCACACCCTTAATTGTGGACATTCGTGAAAATATCCCTTTATTTTATGCAGATAATAGTACTCTCTATTTAGCCCATGTTAGTTGGACGTCACTTCGGGGTAATGGTATTGATATGCACCCAAACTTCATTATATGCAAAAACCTGTAATCCTTGATTAGACAGATAGTATAAGATGTTAAGATGTTAATATATCTCAATTGTGTTTTCATTTCAAGGTAAACATGTGTCGAGTTCATGAACCATTTCAAATGGGATTTGAAATAGCTATAGAACACAAAATATGTGATACATGTTTATTGCCTTTGCCAAGTTTTGGGGGTGCAACCTGCGCCTAAATGCATTTAGAAAAATTATTACAGGAAGTGAAGCCATTAGACCTACAACAACCAGGCTCCTCTCGTTAAGTGACACATGCTGAGATAATGATATAATTTTTCTTAGTTACTGATACTGTCCTTGATTTTTATTTGAGCAGGTATTTATTGCGATGCTGGTTGATAATTTTTTGTACCCCATATCAGCTGTACGTTCAAATTTTTCTCAGTCTATCAATTGGTCTGGCATCCGATATCATTTGAGGAATGGGAAAATAAACAAGGTATCATTACTTTGAGGCCATTTATTTAGTCTTAAAATCACCACATTTGATGAATTTATTCTTCAATTGAAGCATTAATAATGTGTATTGAAGTTTTCCCATCCTCTCTTTCTCCGGGACTTAATAAGTCGAGAAAACTAAAGAAATACACTTCATAATTACCACTCCTATCATTCACTCATTTTTGTCCCAAGAATTAACATGCTGCAAAATCGTGATCACAGACCTCAACCTGGCTTCAAATGATCGACCTTTTCTAGTAATGTATGAATATTTGTGATTCTACAATGAAAACTGTCGAAACATTTGAACAAAGAACTTTTGAAACATTGATTATCATAAATGCTGGAAAAAGGGTCATAATCAGAGTGAAAACTGCCATCTCAGAGAGATTTGTGGAAAAAATCGTGGAAATGTCAACTACTGAAGATACAGAGATCCTTAAAATAAAAATTGGATACAATCTTTTAGAAAATAGAAAATTCAACATATATAACATGCACATTCGTTGTTAATCTGCAGATTGAAAGAAACTTTCTCCTCCCGGGATTCAAGTGTCATTTGGGAGGAAAGCATTTATATGGTAAAAAAGGAGCTCAAAACAATGCTTCTTTTCTCTCATCTTTGTCCAGAAGTCTGGCTCATTGGAGGCAACCCAAGAAATATGATGTATAGACAGACAAAGGTGGAGCTTTTAGTTACTACAGCTTGTGATTCTTTTGTCTTTCATGTTTCTATTTATCGTGAAACGGCACCAGGAGGAAAATTTCCCGGAATTAATCATCATATTACCTGGTATATTTGAAGTGAAAGACCCATCATTGATGAATTTAAGTGGTAGGATTTTGGCAATTTTTTCAATTATTGATTCTTGAGGTTGGATTGGAATATCCCTTTATGGGCTTGTGTAATTTTAGTGAGATCATTTTGTAACTTTATGACATTATGTATACTCAATTTTGGAACTTTATGACATTGATTATACTCGACAATACTTCGGTGCTGTTGAAGAGCTTATCAAAAGATGTATTTTTGTTTGTTAGTCACTGTAATTCTGTATAATTCCTCTTGTGAAAATTAGAATTTATTGGAACTCAGTACTTATTTCCCTGGGGTGGGAAATGATTCTTGTTGGCAGAAATTCGAAACAAGTTAGAAATATGTAGCCAGTGCTCCGGCAATCATGAAATTCTATTCAGAATGTGAAAACTACAAGCAGCCACAATTATTCGGTTCACGTATTGTTGAAGATTAAATTTAAAAATGTTCTGTAATAGCTAAAGCTTTTAATTGAAATGATTTCGAACCGTAGAGATCAAGTTTGACAATAATTTTTTAATCAAAATTGCATGTTGGACTTTTGAAAGTTTTGTTAGGCAATGCCAAACATGAATATGATCAAAAGGGTTGAATACATTAAGCGGTAACAAAACTTTTTAGCGACATTCCATGTTGATCTCTCAAGTTCATTTTGTTTCTAGTTGCACGGAACTTACACTTCTTTATATTTTAATTTATGAACAACTTCAGGTTAGGTTCCTAACTCGTTCATTGCACTGAACTTACACTTCGTTACAATTTAATTTATGAACAACAACTTCAGGTTAGGTTCCTAACTCATTCAATAAGTAGAGTTCATGTCACTCTTTTTGAGTCTCGTATAATGACTTACGATTCTGTTATAGTTCCCTTGTCATGCTATGAATATAGGTAGGCAAATAAACCAGGTTCTTCAACCGTCGATGCTGTCCGGTTTATTTCTAGAGAAGACTTACCCCTCCTAGTGCGTTTATGAAAGATAGGATTAAAGGCGATGAAATTGCAATAAAAGTTTGGTCACACCAGCATCTTTAACCCATGATCGGAAACAAGAAATTAGAAACTAAGATGCTGTAGAAAACTGGACCGAAGAAATCGGTTTTGGTAACAAGACCTACCCATAGAAACCTTCAGTTGAATTATCACCAACATGTGCTAGGATGGCATTACCACCAGGGTGTTCTTCGACATAAGAGGTAACATAAAAAACCTACGGTTGTTTTTCAACAGAAAAAAGAAAAGATTATATAGATAGAAAGCTGACAAAAAGCAATCACAAAGGTCAATTCACATACTACAACATATTTGCTTTTTCAAAATATATTGCTACGGTTGGGAAGAGTTCACAAGATTAGCTCACAAATCAATCAAATATATATGTCAACAGAATAAAAAAAAAAAGCGCACTGAATATGAACAACAGATGTACAGGAGTAATTAACAAAACTGAAAAGTGAACTTATCTTTATTATTCGAACGAATGAACAAAAAACCCACATGTTATACTTCACAATCCGATCAGTGCTTCAATCTCAAAAATAACCACAGTTAAACCTTGAATCAGACCCAAAGAAAGATTGCAAACAGGGATGACGCTCAGACAAGCCCATTATATTTCACAATTAGATCTCTCCTTTGCTAACCACACGATTCACTCAAGAATCAACACCCAATACAAGTAAATCACTCAAGATTACAGGCTATTGAGAGAAAAAAGATAAAAACGGAAATCAAATGAGATTATTTGATTTCTACAGCAAAAAAGAAAAAACTCGAAGCTGCACATAGAGGACACAAGAAAATTAGAAGAATCTCGAAGCAAAGAAGTGAGTCTCTCGAACCCTAGAAGCCTTTTAAATGGGTCACCCAATAGTCGCCAATCCAACGGCGTTGGAGGTGACTCGTGGTGACTCCATTGACGTTCATTTCATCAGGTAAGTGAGAAATGCGATTTCATCTTCAAAGTACACGTTTTCTAGCACCAAACAGAATAAACAAGTAACTGGGCCTCCAAAGATTTCCAGCTGGGCTGACTCATTTATCCCATTGGGTATTAGCANAAGCCTTCAAGCAAATCACGTTTTCTTGCACCACTTAAAACAACAGATTTTTAGTTAGATGGACCTCCATTGATTTTCAGCTGGGCCAACTCAATAAGCCCAATGGGCATAACATCATTGTGCGACAAATTTCCCTTCATACTCCACCTTGGTACAATAATTCACATTCATTAGTGGTTATTCATCAATCATAGATATCATCAGCACGTATTGCAGCATCCACAGATCAGCAAGGAGCAACATTCAACAAGGTCAAACAGTCTAGGAACTTGTTTAAGGGTAGAACTTTGGTACCTATATCAGTAAGGTTGTAATTAGTATATATCTTTTCAAGTTTCACAACACCTTGTGAAATAACATCCCTAATAAAATAAAATCTAACATCAACATGTTTAGATCTATTGTGTAAAACAGGATTTCTACTTAAATGAATTGCAGATTGGCTATCAGAATAAA